ACAAATCAAGAACAAAATAAGAAGATAAATACACAATTAGACAATTAGAACTCATACAAAAACAGCAATCAGACATTCAGAAGTTGAACACTAAAATTATGGAGACAGGTAACACAGCAGAAGGACAAAAGAGTAGAGTAGAACTGGCTAAAGAATGCATTTCCTAGCTAGAAGACAAATCCCCTGATGCCAGCCTGTATGAAGAAAATCTGAACAGAGATTTAAGGGAAATGAAGAGACCCTAAGATTTATATGGGATGACATGAAAAAAAAAATTTACTCCTGATTGTAATACCAGAAAAAGAAGAGACGATCAATCAATCAATCAATCAATCCACTGAGAAAATCCGAAGATTTGATAACTGAACATTTCCCCCATATCATGAAGAACAGATATCCATTTAAGAAGCACAACAAATCCCATACAGGGTAGATCCCAAGAGAAAGTCACCAGGATATATCATAATCAAACTTTCCAAAACCAAAGACAAAGAAAGAATCTTGGGAGCAGCTCTGGAAAAATTAAATGTCACCTACAATGGACAACCAATAAGACTAAGCTCTAATTTCATAGCAGAAACCATGCAGAAAAAAAGGCAATGGGATAGCTTATACAAAATTTTGAAGGGAAAGAATTTCCAACCAAGCATTATAAACCCAGCCATATTGTCATTCAAATATGAGGGTGAAATAAAGACATTTCCATGCAAACAGAAATTAAGGGAATTTGTGAAAACCAGATCAACCCTACAAGAAATGTTAAAGGGAATCCTTGCAATAGAGAACCCACAACAGAGAACAACAAATTAAAACCAAGATACTTGACACCACCACCTAGAAAGCAAACTAGAAAAAGACTCTCAAAATAAACTCACAAAAAAATGTACATAGAGAAATAGGGGAGTCAATCTGCAGATGACACCAGCAACAAAGCAAATGCAGGGAATAAAACTTTTAATTACAATACTTCCAAATGAAGAAGACAGGACAATGTATTTATAGAACAGGCAGTTCCAAACTTAGGGAGATAACAATTTACTTCAGTGTAACCACAAGGAAAATAAACAATCCTTACAGAAGCAACAGAAAGATAGACATGGAGCAATCCCTGAGAGAAAGCGAGACACCCTGGGAGAGAGAACCACTAGATCTGATGACCAGGACCATAGTACTGGGGGACACCAGGCTCAATTGGCACAATATAATACATAAAAATCTTGTTCCACAACCTACATTTGTGAGTAGTGGCTAGGGTCTTAAAAGCTCTCCAGCAGCCATCTAAGATGCAACTAACAGTATCCTTTCATCAGAAGTGAAGAAGAGTGAAGAAAACCAAGGGCATTAGGAAACAATCAGACCTAGGATATGATGGTCCTTGAGACCAGAAGAACTAGTTGGTGCCCAGCTACCAATGCCAATCACTCAGAAAGGGATCAAAACTGGAGATCCTGGATAGAGTGGGAGTAAAAATGTAGAACAAAATTCAAAAACACACCAACAACCAGAATTACTAGTCAGATGGAAATCTGATGGGACCACCAAGACTATGGCTCTGGGATACATTTTAGGCTGATAAGACCTATTCCTAATGGCTGGCTCTCTGCCCAAGAGAAATAAGACTTACATGCAGAACACCCAACTCAGGGTGATACCCCCAACTATTCTATGTAGATACATCCCTTTGAGAAATTGGCCACAGGGCATCAGAGGTGCAACATTGACATGGAGGAAATGCTGGACAGACAAGAGTGCATAACTTAGAAGGGCGCAGGAATGGGGGGGGGGTCATGGAGAAAGAAGAGGAGAATTGGTTAGAGTTGGGAATGATAATTGGGGAGTGAAATCAAATGTACATGAAATGTTCAGTGTAAAGCAAATTGTGCTCTGTAAATGTGCACCCAAAGCAAAATTAAAAGAAGAAAAAAGATAAGAAAATTAACAATCCTTCTAATCAAACTAAGAAAAAGGAAGATCACAAGGGTACAGTAAGCACAAAACGAACAATCATGAAGAAAAGAGAAAAAAAAATTGATAACAAAATGAACTCAGCACAGAAAAATATTTGGAACAAAGAAATCACACAATAAAAAACACAACAGAAGATTCAAAATGGAGTCTCACCAGTGAGCACCGCGTTTTTTCCCTCTGGCATCTAAGAACTTTAAGAACTAGGTACAACAGATTGAATTGAGATTTTTGGTGCTCTGAGCAGCTCACTGATCCAGACTGCACCAAACACAGAAGAGCAGAATTGGAGGAAAGTTACAGGGAGATTTTTTTTTTTTTTTTTAGGAAAGAGCTACTGCCTAAAG